TTTTATAGAGGTGTCCGCTTAATAGATGAACAATCTGCCGACAATAAGTGGAAAATTTTGTGGGACCTTGTCTACTGTTCGCTTGATGTAGAGTGTCGGCTTCATGGAGGCTCAGAGATGCAGGTTTGACGGTTACGGTTAATTATACACTTACATTGTGCATGTGTTAATGCATGTCGCGGGAGATATTTACTGACACTCTCACGTATCTAAGCACAATCCATTCATCAAGGAGGGCAATAAGATCCATAAAATTATTGTGAGGCAGGTGCAGATTCATAGATATATCTTTAATAACTGATGTCCATAACCAAGTATTCATTTCCAACCTGCTCTTGAGCCATTTGGAATTTAGGAACGTTCAATTTCTTGGGGAAAATATAATCGAATCAGACTGTCAGCCAAGGCGGTGAGTTACGCATATAATCACTATAATAATTTAAAACATTATATATCACGTTATACTAAGAAAAGAAAACTTGCGGAGGAAAAAAAAAAAACCAGTTACGCACACAGCAATTATAACATTATATATGTATGTAACAAAGAGAACCATGCGGGTAGAAAAAGAAACATATGAATTCAAAATCGCTTTAATTTTATTCGCTATTTAGTAGTAGTCTTACTATTGTGTAGAAACAAGTTTACCTTACTTTAATCTGTGCTTTTAGCTTTGACCAATTATACGATTTATAGAAAAGACTATACGCATAAATAGCGGGCAATAAAAGCAAATTGATAAATAAAATTAATGTGTAGTAGTTCTCCGTTATGTTTCAACGTCGATTTTTTTTTTCGAACTATTTCTTTACGATTCATATTTGTTGATCCCTTGCTTAAATGGCTAGAAAAGCATAACAAAACAAGACTGAAAAGGAAGTGGTAGATCACGCTGCAACAGAATTCGGAAGAATGCTATATATGGAGCAAACTTACCATATGAAATAGAGAGTGCAAACAGACATAACTAACTTTAGTATGAAGCTTGCCTAGGTACGCCGTGCTAGAACCCAGTTTGCAAGGTCTCCAGGATCGAAATCTATAACGTAAACTTTATAGTTGGGAAATTTTCGTCATAGTTCGATTTGTCCCACAGAACTGATTTGTTAGGGCATGGGCTGAAATTATGGAATTCCTCTTTGAATGTCCAACCTTTTATCTCACGCGTCCCGTGAGATCTGGTCGAACACTCAAAGAGAAATTCTGTATCTACGCGCGCCATGTATCTATCAGTTCTCTATGTAATTAAGATGACTTCCGCAGAACATTCCAGCAATAATGGCAAAAATAAAGTTACCAAAAAAACCCTCATAGCATGGTAATATTTTGTATAAAGGTAAGAAGAATTTCTCGAGATCTAAGCTCTCAAGCTGACCCCACGAGCGAAAATTGAACTTGAAGTTATCCATATTTCAATTAAAGCGGACGTTTCGCGTTAGTTGAAAACACAATAACACACGCATTAAGCATTCTTACGAGGTTTGACATTAACTTTCTCAAGAATGCTTGGGGATTTAATCGTCCCAAAACTCGAGAAATTCCATTGGCAACTGCATAGGACAGCTTCAATGAGGGACGCTGTGTTTTAAAGGCGATGTCATACCAAGTTGCAAATCAATGCGGAAAGGACAATCTCATATAATTTATATCAAGGCTTCGTGGATGATATTAATTGTACTTGCGAGTTCGTCTTCTTAGTCTTGTTTAGAAAGATAGATATCTGCTGGTGCACACTAATGGAAAACATATCGATGACATTAACACCCGCCTACTTGACTAACGTTAGTAATGGCACGAAAACGTGACGGTTTTAAAATACTTGAGCAATATCGAGGACGCATCTTGCCAAAACCCTTATGGAAATCTCGAAATCCAAATCCAACCACCAGAGGATGAAGAGGACAGTAAAAATCTGCAAGTGAAAACCTAGTGGTTTAAGAACCTGCTGGTAGAAATTTGCCATTTTAATGTCCAAAATATAAGAACCTGTTTAGCCAAGCAAGATCAAGCAGGGTCTTATACATGGGTTACGGTTGAATTATGCACTCTTGTTATAGAGGCAACACTGCATATACATTCTGTAATTAGCTGTGTTAGACTTATCATTATACAGTCGTGAATAAATACTGTATATGACCAAACTCAAAATTATTTATTTTTTGGGAAATAACAACTATATCTCCTTAAGAACCTAATTAAGAACCTACTTAACATAAATTGCCAATAACTTCGCAACGATACAAAAGCCTATTTTGAAAGACTTCAAAAAATATAGGTTCTTACACGCTTGTTTATATTGTAATAGAGTTGATTACGCTGCAGCAAAATCCGGGGCAATGCTTTATGGGAAGCAAACATACCACATGAAATAGAGCGTACAAACAGACATAACTAATTTTTATATGAAGTTTGGCTAGGTACGTGCCAGAACCCAATTTGCAAGGTGCCCAGGAAATCTATAACGTACTCCTTGTTTGTTTTTGTTTTTGTTTGATTGTTCTTTTGCCGCCTCACAACTTAAACCTGAAAATGAAACGCGTATTGCAAAGACTACAAACACTTGCTTCTACTTGTAGCTTGCTATCTGTAAGAAATTTTATAGTAGCTAAGGGTTCTGATAACCTCGGAGGGTCTAGAAATCGGCAAGTCCTGAGTAGTGACGTGAATTTTACGCACGTGACGGTGCACAGTGCACAGGTGTTTATCCTCCATGAAAACATCCACGCAACGCGTATGGCAACATTATGCGCAAACCTGGGGGTACCCCACAATGATGGCCTAGACGGGGAGGCCTCGCCTGAAAGGGGTTCCTTTTTCAGGCTTCAAGTATATAAAAGGGTAGGGATTTCAAAAGTTGAGGTATATGATAGGGTCAGGAAATCTGTCTTTTAGTTATTCTAAGGGGCCCTTAGTTAAAATATTTTGAACAGACGCACCTTATGACTGTATCATTTCCTTTATTAGACGCTACAAGAAAAATGACAAGACGACTTCTTTTTTCAACAATTCTTTCATAATGCGACCCAGTTATGAAAGTGTGGGAAAGGGATACCTTTTTTCAATGAAAGGTATACGAAAGGGACTACCTTTTCCGCCAAAATGGTAAACAAAAGGGTAAGGGGTTAAACCTCGGGGCGAAGCCTCCCCATACAGAACTTCGCAGAATATCCTCTCCCCCCCAACAGGTGTGCATACAAGTGAGTACCATGTTACATGTATTATTAGCTAAAATGATTATTACCATATTTTTCCTTCGACTGAATACCAGATTCGAAATCTTTTTCATTTTACATTCTCTTTATGATTCCAAAGAGTCTGACCAAAATGATACAACGAGAGTAATATAAGAATGCATGATTCTTACAGAATTGAATTAAAATATACTTTACACAAAAGAAAAACTCAAATAAAGATTGTTGTGCAACTGCTATCAAACAACAACAACAACAACTTAGGCTTACTTATTGAAGAAGAAAGGCGGCCCTACTGGTTACGCCTTTTTCATATTTTATAATGTTTTTAAATATTTTTTTACTTAAAAGTAATCAGTAGTTTTAATAACAGAAATCAATTCACATAGGTTGTTAGTGTACGTGTTGCAAAGTTCTTTTGAATGAAACGGACTTCTAAACAATTTCCGCGAATAACACCTTTTCCTTTTAATTAGAGTGTTACTAGGAGATATTTGGTATAAGCTAAAATTGTCCATCTGAAATCTTCACTTCAGAAGTAATTTAAGGTCTGCTCTGTTTTTACATCGAAGAAAATATAACTCCATATTAAGAACAGAACATACATACCATCGATAACCATAGATTATTTCAGAAAAATCGTCAGGTAAAATGTATTATAGCATTTCACCTGCCAGAACAGTACGGCTAAATCGAGATAACCATCCAGGTTAAAATAACACTTCGCTTTGAGATAATCTTATTCTAAGCACATGCAAATTTTTAACTGTTTACAGAGTTTTTCCACCAAAAAACATTCAATTTTTGTTCTTTAACAATATACTTGTAAAATTTTGAGTTTTTAAACCCGCGTCGCGCAAAAAGTATTCAATACATCGGGTTAAAATAGCAGAAATAGTGCATAGCCTTCGGTTGCAAACACCTCTCCTCAGCGACCAGTTTTCCAAAATACCAAAAGTTTCCAAGTCAAATCACTACTTGTGGAACCTCTTGTAAGCGACCACCTCTCATAAGCGACCGCGACAACTTTTAGAGCTAAAAGCTTGAAATTTTCTTTTGCGTGTAACCTCCCGTAAGCGACCACTTGAGAGTTAATAGAGCGGAAATTGGATAACAAGGCGTCGTAGTTTATAAGAAGTGAACCGTGATACTCTGAATAAATACCTTTGGAAAGCTTAAATACTTTTGTGGTGACTAAAAGTTTTTATATGGGTCTGAATAGGCACTGACGCATGGGGTAAGTCTATAGTTACCATATACTCAGCATATGGCAACTGTAGAGGCTTTTCACCCAGTATCTTATATGGTCTAAGCTCTCGTACTTGAGCGACCACACTCCGTGAACGACCTCCTAGACTTGAAATTTTGGGTGGTCGCTTACGGATGGATCGACTGCAGTTATTTTTCCGATTTCAGAACTTCTGCTGCCGTGAAGTGGAACAGACATGGTTGTCAAACAACTGCTCAACATTACCATTTTCCTCGTCTTTTGCCCAATGTTCTGTGGAGCAACTGCTCTGCGGTGCAGCCAAGCGGAATCTTCCATATATGGCATGAAGCTAAAGGGACACGTCATCAAAACAATCAAAAGGATATCGCTGGGTGGTTTATGCTTACAGGAATGTTATCGTGAGGTCAGGTGTCAAAGTTACAATTACCTTATTTCCCGAGCAACGTGTGAATTAAACGACCGCACCAAGGAAGCCAAACCTGAAGATTTTGTTCCTGATTCTGGAAGATATTATTTTAGACGAGACATGAATAGGGGCAAGTTTGTATAACAAAACAGCACAAAAGTAGATAGAAATAATTGCCTGGTCACCAAATCGGGGTCTGCTTAATGTAGGTCTTACTTTCAGAGCAAAAAACGTACTGCGCAGCTTTCTGCGCTACCGTACTTACGGGCTTATGCAACCAATATGCATGTGGTACAAAGGCGGAGAGAATGGCNTTACTTTCAGAGCAAAAAACGTACTGCGCAGCTTTCTGCGCTACCGTACTTACGGGCTTATGCAACCAATATGCATGTGGTACAAAGGCGGAGAGAATGGCGGACTAAAATCAGGGACTGCGATTATGTCGCTCGGTTGATTTTTTTACGCTTCAGCATTGCACTGTTAAGGAAACAAGACTTCCCCTGCCTGCTTAGAGGCTCTCTTGCTTATATATTAAGTGTTTCGCTTATATGGATGCAATATGCAAAGAGAGTTTGTGAAAAATGTCTTCGCACCGAATTTTCCTGTACGTCGTGGGGAAGTAGTGTTCGGAAACCTTCCTAATGCTAATTTTTTAGTCCGAAAAAATTTGATTCCCCGGCTGCGAAAAAATTACAACAGCTATCCATTTGTGACGAGAAAATGTTGGAAAAATTGGGAAAAAACCTAAAGTTCGTAAAACGATGAGAAGTCAGACTAATCCAAGGCTGATACAACGTCGTATATTCAGTACAATATTTCGGCCAGCCAGACTAGCCTTCTTCAGGTTTAGATGTTACTAAATTATACAATGGTGGATGTCGTAACACATATTTCCAAACTAATGGAGCGGCGGAAACGACGAACAAAACAAACCAACTAAAGTAAAGATAAAACGGGTCTACATAGGTTACAACTTTTACGATTCATCGCGTCTATTCAAACTGTGAGGCTTCAGTGTCCCTGTTAAATCTATTCAACAACAACAACAACTTTTATTATGACTCGCATATTTGCAATGTTACAGAAATATATACACATTAAGTTAAAAAAGCTTGACAATAGCAACACCGCGAACCCGCAGGTAGCCTGGGCTAATCTAGGCGGGCCACATCTATATTTATATTAGACCATTAATTAACTGTTAACAGACTGACTTTTCTGATTGAATCACGTGAGGAGTGGATAAGTTCAAGCGGGATTAGTTGCATGTCAGTATAACACTGACTAGGATGAGAAAGAAAATGTTCGGCAACAGTGCTGGGTTTGGATTTAATGTTAGTTTTGTCGACAGAGCGTCTAGGTTCGTACTCTTTTCCGTTTATTTGATCGGCAAAATTTCCGCTATTTTTCAGACTTGGAGCCTGGCGCGCAGCCAAAACTGACGCATGTTTATTACGTTTTTCCGCTCTGAAGTTTTCGCTGTATATCTTTTTGTGCTCCAGTACCCCTCGGTTCCATTCCTGAACTGCCCGCTGAAACTTGCAAAGAAATCAAGGCCAGTGAAAGAGGACAAGCGGTCAGCGGCAAATACTGGCTGAATCCCAAGGGGTCAATGGGCTCGAACACGTTTCCGGTAAGCTTTTAATTCAGCTGTCTGTCTCTTCTTTTTTAACCCTGTGTTGTACAATTTCAAAACCCTTCCCTCGCGGTCGTCCACATATTAAATAGACTAGAAAAACACATAAAGAGTTAATTTCGACTTTTTCTTCATTACCTATAAGTTTGAGTGTCAAAGCAGTAATTGGTAAACTTTGAGATGTTATCAATATTTTCGGGGAGTATTTTGGTGTACCAATTGTTTGGTCGCATGACCAGTCTTTTCTATAGCAGCTATGATTTCAAATGGTATTTGAGTGAAAAAGTAAACTTAATTTTCTGGCTAGTTGAACCTTTGGTGTGACAACAAAACTGGCAACTGATTAACGATGAAATGAAACGGCCTTTACACCTCGTATAAGTTCGATTACCAAAGCGTGAATACTTTTGAAGATGAATAGCCCCATTTCCCTTCCCCCCTCCTCTCCCGCGGTTCTCCTCAGGTTCTCAGGAACAAAAGAAAAGCCCAGGCTTAGTGGGGTTAATGAAATACTTTGTAAAACAGCCTCCATTTGGAGCGAAAATATGCACGGATATCTGTCAGCGAACATTATCTGTTCCGAGAAGCAAACAGTTATCCAAGAGCGTAGCCCGAGGAAAACTGTGAGCTTTGAGGGACAGATAATATCCAAGACAAATATCCAAGCATATTTTCGCGCCAAGTAGAGGCTACTGTGTTCATTATCCTTCAAATATTTTTCGCAACACGCGCATTTTTGAAAATTGGGGAATTTGGGCAGTATCACTCACATGTTCCCTAGTTCCAGCTAAGAAATATTTAGACCAATCGCGCGCGAGCGAAAATATTTGATGGATTATAATCAAATTTATTTGCATAAGCCTTGGGCTGTCACTTATTTTCACACTCTCGGTTTTTTGCAACAGGAAGATGATATGTTCTAAGTCAGTGACACAGTCATACGCGGAAAAAAAAAAAAGTGTTCTCCAGGTTAGAGTCAAACCTCACATGTTCCGGTTTCTAATTCAGACGTTCCACTACTGAGCAACAGGAGACTTTTGGGCGCTATGGCCATTACACTATCATAGACAAAAGTCTTAAGAAAAGTTCTCCTGAGCTTGTGTTGGGTGGAGCAGGGAGGAACAGCAATGCATTTTGAAAATGATAGCATTTCTTTTTCAAACCCATAACACAGATAATTTATGGCATTGCATAAGTGTCCCAAGGACTTTTGTCCATCATTGCGATTTCCAGCGACAAACATTTGCTGCAAGCTACAAATTACTGTAAGACGCGACATTTTATTACTGACGTTATTTCGCATCAGGTGTATTGCGACATGACATCAGACAACCAAAGTTGGACCCTTATCGCTCGGTTCTCAAACAATGATACCAAACACTGGATGAATGACACTGGTTACTGGTGGTATGACATGGTTGAAGCTGCTGGAAAAATCGCTGATCCATCGAATAACAGTGACATGATATCGCCAACATTTTGGCTGGTCAGCGGCAACGAATTCAAGATCACACGCAGTGACGACTCTCAGCACACTCCCTTGCTGCAAACCACAGGTATCTGTCTGAGTGGGCAGACATTCCTATCTAAAGTCACAAGCTATGGTGACTTCAGGAATGGCGCAGTTTGGACCAGTGACCGGTGTCTGGGGAATTGCACAATACTATATGGAGGACATGGCCTATCGACGAACGGGTTCCAGCAGTCGGGATGCAGCGGAGAGATACAAAGCTCTTAAGCGATCGGCTTCTGGTGTGACTGGGACGCTGGAGATGGTGCAGTACTCATGATTGGTGGAGGAGGAGCCAGCTGTGCACGTGCTGATCACGGGATTGGGATAACTGAAACTAATTCAGCTTCTTTTGTCGATCTCGCAGCCACCCAAACAGAATACGACTTTGGCAGTGACGCTCGCACAACCACTCCGCAATCCAACACTTACTCCTTAAATCTGTGGATACGTTAGTCAGTTTCATCATCATCTCCTCTCGACACGCAAGTTGGAGCTTAAGCCTATCACGTTCTCAAACCAACAATAGGGAGGTTAAGAAAACCACAACGGCAACGGCAACGTCGCTAAAAAAAAGATTCAATGAGCAGTACGGGTTGTGCGCGTGCGTTATAATTCTTGGTACATTTCTTTGCCGTCCTCTGCAAAACAATAATGTGTAATAGCCAAATTCTGCCTTGTCTGGAGACCGTCAACCACGACGGCTAATTTTTTAATGGCAGTTTCGAATTTAACGCTGTTTTCCATAATTAGTTAAGATAAACAATGTGAATGACTTCAGAGTAACTCGATATTCGTACGTAGTATAAACTCCTTTTCAATCGAAATTGTTCTCGGCGTCGCCATCGTGGTTTCCTGAACTTCAGACTCTCTTATCCGCTCCGCCGCTATGGCTGCCTTCCATTTCTTCCTCTTTGCCTTATTTCTCTCTTTCTCCACAGTCTTTCTCCAAGTGGTCTTCGGTCTCCCGCTGGCCCTTGGACCTCCTAGTGTCCACCCCAATGCTGTGACACGGTTCATAACACCCTCTCTCTTGTGCGAGTCGTGTTAGCCCGTTTAGTGAAATGTATTTACCAAACAAGATCCATCATATAGCGACTTTAAGGGTGCTCCATTCGGAAGGCCATGATAGGGTGCTGTAATCTTAATTATCTATTATATTTTCAGAGATTTGTCAGCTATCGGTTAAAAATCTCATCTAATTCCTCAGCTATCAGCAAATTGTGCAGTTCTGAGATCATTTCACAGCTGACAGTTAAAACTGGCCCTATCCAGACCCTCTGTTCCAAATCCCCTGTTCCAGTCACTATGTTTAAGACCCCCTGTTCCAGACCCCTGTTTCATACACTCTGTTCCAGATCCCCTGTCCAGACTCTGAGTGGATTTGTTATGAGATTTAAAGTTTGGATCTTGAACGAAACCCACTGTTTTGAAGATTAATTTATGTCTTCATAAATTCCAGTCAATGGGACAGTCGTGAGAATTACGTATGGATTGCGTGACATGTGGTAACACAGAGTAGGGTTTCACAAGCCAAAGTTCAATTCTGATCATGTACGTCCATAGTGCAATCTGCAGGCTGAACCAATCAGACTGGTTTTATTTCACTTTCAATCAACTTCTATTGCATTAAACATAGGCCTTGTGTTTATTCATTCCATTGCTCTAGGAGACAAACATTATCTTGCCTGCTTTAGTTTGCTTTGTTCTAGTACAATTATTTTTCCACCCTCCCCCTCCCTATGTCATAAGCATGTAATGCACTATAGTACACACACAATATACTTTACTTCTTATCCAGACTTATGATACATGATGTTACATATAAGATGTATTGACTATAAAAATGTTATATAGAAGATAATATACAAGTTAAATTGAGATACATGATATATATAAGATGCTACAGTAAACAGCCAACGCTATTCAGACTTGCTGTATATTTGCATGATAGACACTTAATGAATAGAGTAGCCCTGTCTACTTTCATAGATTAGGTATATACCTGTATTATATACCTGTATTATGGAGTTACGATTCAGTTCCACTCGTGTTTTATCGCATATTTTCTTGAAATGAATTGTTAACGAATCCTCGGTTTGGCCTTTGGTTCAACATATTGTTACTCTCTAGTGTCTCACAATGTCATTGCGCTCTTATATAAGTTGTTACAGTTTGCAGTTATGTTATGTTCCGGTTTAACTTCAGCAGTTTCCCTGTACCCAAGACGCGTAACGAACCGATTAGCTATGCCTACTATTGAGATCTACTCAATTGGACTCTAGAGTAAATCTTAGGTGTAGATCTTTCCTGCGTCCTGTAATCCTGAATTGATATAGAGAAATAAACTTTGGGTTGGGATGAAGTGCTCCCATACAGGTCACTCTTTGCCCGATAGACTCAAGGAATGGATTGGTTGCCATGGTAACTATGAATCTAAACTCCTTTACCTGACTAAGGACCTCTTTCAGGGTATTGCGATCTGCAGCCTTGAGGAGGATTAAGGACCTCTTTTAGGGTATTGTGACCCGCAGCCCTGGAGAGGATTAAGGACCTCTGTTAGGGTATTGTTACCGGCAGCCCTAAAGAGGAGTAAGGAACTCTTTCAGGGTATTGTGATCTGCAGCCCTCGAGAGGAGGAGGACCTCTCTTAGGGGATTGTGACCTGCACCCTTAGAGAAAAAAGGGGGTGAGGGGGGGTTTTGAGGCTCCCATCTTACCAAACTAGACTAGTATTCTGTTAGTGACACTGGCCTGTTGGAGTACTTCATTGCCAAACCCTTTCCCCGCATTTATTGCTGTCTGTGTTTTTGTTTCTCATGGGTTGGGAGCATTAAAGAGTGGAAACAAAGAATGTGATTTTGTTAAATTTCTTTCTTCAATAATGGGAGGAACCTTCACAGATTATAATTATTTTTATGCTTTGATTGACAGTCACAAATGCGCAACACACGCCTGTGTAGAAAACATTGCTAAATCTCCACTTACACTGTTTTTTTTTTAATAAGAATATTATTTTTGCGCCCGAGGCCGAATATTCTTATTTTTCTGCAGAATTTGGGCTGAAAATATTCTTTTGAATAGCGTGACATTTCTGCTTTCGAATGCATTTGGTGTCTGGACGATGTTGAAGTAATTTTGGAGCCGGGCTGCAAGCATAACGTCTTACAGAAATGTTTTTAGCATCGAACATACGGCTAGTGCTGTTTTCGTTGCTCTTTGGCCAGTTTTGCCATTTAGAGAATGAAAGAATTTTATACGGTTAGTGGAAAAAAAAAAAAAAAAAAAAAAAAA